CCCTCCAAACTTTTCCTATTCATGTACTTATCCAAATGTCTTTTAAACGTTGTAACTGTAGCCACATCTACGCCTTCCTCTGGCAGTTCATTCTACACGTGAACCATTCTGTGTGTGTGTGTGTGTGTGTATATTAAAAAAAAAATTGCCGCTCACCTTTTTTTAAATCTGCCTCCTCGTCACTTAAAAATAAACCCCCTAGTGTTAAAATCCCCCATTTCAGGGAAAAGACACTTGCCATTCACCTTATCTATACCCCTCATGATTTCATAAAGTCACCTCTCAACCTCCTGTGCTCCAGTGGAAAGAAGTCCCAGCCTATCTTTATAACGCAAACCCTTTGGTGTGGAAACAGCTGCTCTACAAAGCATCCCACCCAGATCCACCTTCCTACCCTGTGACCCCGCATTTCCCATGGTCAAACCACCTAACCTGCCCATCTTTGAACTGTGCGAGGAAACTCCAACGAAAGCCACGGAGACATGGGGAGAATGTGTGGAGTTCTGCACAGTCACCCGAGGCTGGAATCGAACCTGGGTCCCTGACGCTGAGCCAGCACTACTAACGGTGCTGACCCTTCAGCCTTGTCGTTCTGTCCACCTTTCGGTGGTAAATCAGTATGGTATTGTATCAGACACCACATCACCACAAGCATTTATTGATTCTCTCATTTTCTCACTGAGATATTTCTGCAAGTTAATTAAACACAACATGTCTTAAGAAACTCCACTCAGTTAATCAGCATTTATCTGTGTGATTAATTTTGATCTGAATGTGGAAAGCTCCCACCTGAGGTTGAGTGGACTGCCCTGTCTATCATCACACATCCTTCTTTGAACATTTACAATTCTGCATTCAGGCACCACCCCTCATTTTACAAAGACTGGAAAATCATGGTCGATATCCACATGCCCTCTCTTCCTCTCGCTAGTTTCCTTAGATATGTCAACTTCAGTTAGCCTATCAAGTATCTCCACCCCTATCAATCCTGAATTATTCCAATGTCCAAATTACTTCCTCTGTCATGGTGGCCTCAGTAATGTCATCTTCCTGGATGAAGACACAGTACCCCATGTGAAGCTTCTGTCCTGCCCTGTGTCCATAGGCGTGTAGGGAATGGATTGTGGGATACAGGAGGAATCTGCTCTGTGCCCGTTGGGGGCGAGGGGTGGGGAATGGATTGTGGGACACGGGAGGAGTCTGCCCCATGACCGTTGGGGGGGTGGGGAATGGATTGTGGGATACAGGAGGAGTCTGCCCCGTGTCCATCGGCATGTGGGGAATGGATTGTGGGATAAGGGAGGAGTCTGCCCCATGCCCATAGGCGTGTGGGGAACGGATTGTGGGAAACGGGAGGAGTCTGCCCCGTGCCCATTGGGAGGGGAATGGATTGTGG